ATTAATTAGGTATTAAAGTATTATATACTAGATATTATAGTATTATGCATTTACGCATTTATGTAGCATATTAACTAAACTTACAAAAAATATTTACTTACACGGATATATTATTATTACCGCATGTAGGTAGATATTTCGATTAGGTTTTTATTTTTATAAATATTTTGTTTTCCTTAAAATATCTTATTTACACAACCTTCAAATTGTTTCGTTATAATATCATATACAAACGCGCAACACGTAGTCGGTAGGTAGGTACATCAAGACGTGTGCCATGCTACGAGCAAACGCATATGCTTTTAAACCGGAATGAAACATCAACGGGCGCGGATTAAAAAAAAAACACACAACACGACTACACAACAAATTCGTCTTTCCCCACTGCTCGTTTTTACGAACCGCGAGAGGATGAGCGGCTGAACGTGATCTGCTTCTGAGTACGTTGGCGCGGCGGCGGCAGTGACGTACGATCACTCGCACAACCGCGAACACGGTTCACCGACACCTGCTTTAATAATACTGTGTAGTATATTTTCACTCGGCCCCGACGACGACGACGACGACAAAAATACACTCTCAGGTATTAATATTTTATTATTATTATTATTATTATTGTTGTTATTTCGAATATTGATAGTGTAACGTGAGACATATTATTAAGGTAACGCAATATAGGTATATACGTGCCAAAAGAATATTGATAAAAAATTAATAAATATTATTCGAATTTTACTTCGATGATTATATTAGGTGTATAGTATATTTATTATATTATATAGCAAACGAACTATGTATGGTAAAAGTATATCATATATAATATCTCCAGGGTTAAGATTTCTAATAGGTACAATAGTTAATAATATTATAGTTATTAATTATGAATTATTATTAATGGATATCCCCAGCACTGACGGTTGAAGACAATACCTAAAACCGAGTAGAACCGCATTAAAGTTAACCTGTTTATTTTCCAGGCTAATTACAAATATTAATCATTTTTGTTAGTATAGACTATAGTTACACTATGCTATAGGGTAGCTGCTATAATACGTCTTATTGGTCATTTTGTTTTCAAACAATAATTCATTAAATAAAATAAAATTGATGTAACAGTAAACGGTTCACCCACAATTATTGAGAGTAATATTATGTCAAACCGTCAAACTTTACAGTGGTGATTAATTAGTTCATCATAAATTAATAACCATGCAAGCTATCTTAAGAATATAAAATTCTTAAATTAATTATGCATACTAACTTCATTTTATTGTAATCAAAAGTATTAATTAAGTTCATTGAAGTATTGAACCCTAACATACATTAAGTAAGTATTAACCCAACATATATTGTCATTGTTCGAATACCTAGTCTTGAATCTTGTTTTTGTAGAACTGTCCACTGGTAAATGTACGGACTAAGCTGCTCACAATATATTATATTATTATTTTATTCTATTATAGTATTATCCATTGCACGACATAGTTGTGCACATATTTTGGTTAAAGATTTAAATATTGGCAAAATAAAAAAATACCTTCAGTTGTTTGGTAGGTTTCATAACCATTTGAAATATTGATAACTTTTTCATAAAATATATTAAGGCGCCCGGTGCCATCGTCATTTTGTCCTCAAAAATATACTCAACGGGAATAATGATCCTATCCTTTAGAATCAAACAAATATTATGATAAATATATATTTTTTTTAACTAATAGAGGGTAATATTTTACAAGCCGCTTGAACTCCCTTTTTCAATTGTTTAATCTCAAACTTCAAAAATAAGACTATTTTAAGTTTTTTTTACAAATTATTTTAAATAAAAAAAAAAACTGGAGTTCAATGAGGCCTGTAAGAAGTCTTCTTCTTTAAGATAAAAAAAAATAGTTATACAAATCTCAAATCTGATCATTCTACAAGGCTTGAGACTACAACCTATGTATGCTACGTAAAATAAAATATTTAAAATTTTTATTAATTTTTAATTTTTAAAATAGATTTGTATTTTATTATTAAATTTAGTGATGATCTAATTTAAGTTTAAAATAATGCTAGCCAGGGTTTCCTAAAATGTAATGGTTACTAGCAAATTATGATATTGTAACATACAGTAACATAAAAGTATGTCTGGGGTAGTGGGGCATTGAATGGTGTAAATGTTTTGGACGTAATTGTATGTCTGCAGCAGTTAAATGGTTAAGGTGGCCTCTAAAATATAAAATATAATTTTGAAATTAATTAAACAATAAACTGAGGAAAATTTAAAAAACTGGCACGGGGTCCCCTTATTACACTACATTATTATCCCCGTAGAAAGTGGAATTATGATGCTTATTTATTACTTATGCGGAACCATTTCAAAACAGTCTTTTGATAAATGTTACAATATCAGTTGACCCAAATCATAGAATTTGAATAAATAACTCAATTGTAGACAATAAGTGTTTAGTGTATACACTTATTGCTTAAATATTTAATATAATATACCTATTTTATTTATATTCTATATTCTATATAATATACATACAATTAATACATATTTGTTATATAATCAATGTGACAATGTCATAACATAATAATTACCAGTTAATATACTATAATAATGATGATGAACAATACTTTGAAATTAAAAAATTATTCGTAAAATATATATATATTATAGGCACTACTTTTTATGGTAAATTTCATGAATTAAGTGTTGAATTTAAATGATTACATATATATAATTTGAAGAAATAATATTCTCTTGTATGATCGTTATTTTTAATAAACGCCTAATCAAAATCGTTGTTAGTATCATTGCACTATTATATTACCAAGTCTTGACAAAGAAAAAAAGTTTTAACTAGCAAAAAATACCTACTACCTACTTCATATCTCTATTGATATCTTTATAATATTGTATTTTTATCCATTCCATTGTAACAATTATGTTTGATTTTTACACTGTCATATAGGCAACCCGGTAGACGGGCAGTTCACTTTGAATAAAGTTGTTTCTCTCTCATATTTGCTTGCCTAAAATGTAAATTGAACTATTTTACGTTGTATTTATGTTTGAATAAATTAAAATATTTGTATACCTATTGGCAATTTTAAGTAAATTAAAAATAAATTCATTAGGACTACTCGTAGGTATTACTAATACTCATGTATATCTACGTATAATATATATTTTAAGCTTGCCACTTAATATTTACATAAAACATGTTCAGGTTTAATACGAATATATTATTAGTTTTAAGTTATTCTAGAGGCGATAATATATGCTATACAATAGATGTTACGATTGAATTTCAGTATTTAAAATACAATTCCTTACATTAATTAATGTAATGTAATATTGATTGTGAAATAAACGAATTCATTATTAAGTTAATTATACTTCTCTGTTGACGATAATTATTGACACGGAGAATCAAATTCCTCTTCGACGTACCATTAAAATAGAAAGTATATTTATATTAATTCTTAGTGAATTTAAACATAATTTAAATATTACGTGTTACAATAAGTTATAATGCAATTTTCCTTCTCGTTAGCAGGTTTAAAGTGACCTTGTGAGAACAATGTTTACAAGTACCTATATTATGTGTCTTCTCGAAATTAATACGTGATTATTTGAACCACAAACTTCTACTAGAAGATTTACAATTTAGGATACCCAACACAGTTATCTAAATAAAGTTATTAAAAATATCAAAATATGTGATATAAATGTTAAAACACGATCACTTGTATAAACATTATGCTATTATCAGTATATAATTACAATTATGTGTTTATATTAATCATGTTCTTTGTTTTAAAAATATCTTACATATTATTAAATACATCAATTTATCATCGCACACATAAAAGTGTCAAAATATAAAAGAAACATTGAATATTATGCATTATTATTGTTCATTAGAACAATTTTACTATTCAATAAACTGTATAATTAATTACCTATATAAGATCGTTATAAATCCAACTGTTCATATTATGTGTAATAGTAATTAAGAAAACTATAAATTCGCAATTAATTATTAGGAATATGCAAAAACAGGTAGGTAGGTATTATTGTGTACCGCAAAAAATCAAATGGTTTCAGTTAATTATTTCAATGTCAAAGGTCAAATGAGAATACCTACCTGATGTATAATATTATAGTAAATAAGACTATTGGTACGAATGATGAAACCAAAATATTGCCAGAGGTCAATGTCTTTTCCATATATGACTGCAATTTGTTATAATATTTACCTATTTCGTACACAAATCGATTCATTTTAACTATAGGTACACCTCCCTATAGTATGGCACATTAGCACGAAAATATTATAATATTTTAGTAATAATAATGTTATACAGGGTAATATTCTATATCACTATTCAGTAACAGAGTAAACAGTAATTAATTGTCTCGATAAATGTATGTGTTATTAAAAATGTATTTATCTTTTTCAACTTCATTTATTCACAAAACAAACTATTTTAAATACATTAAGATTTACGATTAGCTATGACAAATGTGTAAGTTCATTAGTGTTTTATCTATACAAATGGAAATGTATTATCCGAGAATTATTAAATGTAGATAAATACTAATTATGGGTGTTTAAGAAACCATTGAAGTTCATATATAATACTTACAGTGGATAGAATAACAACATATTACTTTTAAAAGTTGTAAAAAATATTGATGTTATATTCGTAACTATTTTTAAAAAACTTATTGTATTAAGTCTAAAGTCAAAATCAAGTGTGGAGACGACGAATAAATATTTTTAAAAACATTCTATACTTTTTAAAAGTTTATGATGAAGGACGGAAAAGAAAACAATATATAAATAGAAAACGGTTGTGCGATCGAATATCGTTACAAATTTGGTTGATCTTTTTCAAGTTACAACTGTTAAGAAATAATATAAATTTGTATTGCTAAAGCTATTTAAATACCTATTAATTATATTGATTGTATTAATTGTGTTTATATCTATATTTAGGTGTTGGAAATGTCAGTTTATCCGATACTGTTGCACGCAGGAGCGTGCTTGTGGTATGCTTTTTTTTGGAACAACTTTTTAGCCAATGGCAGTGATAAAAAAGAGAGCGACTGGGATCCTAGGTACCGAGACATACATGAAATGGGATATAGATTTCTCACCAATTGGAATCTCGTAATTAAAATTATAGTTTTGATTCTTGTATACTATATTTTTTGTATCACTGTCAAAAATTTTTAAATTTATAATATAATAATTTATTATGTTGGCCCTTGACACAATAATTTATGTTATAGTCTATAATAGGGGTCGGTAACCTTTTCGTAGGGAAGAGCCATTTTAGATTCTGAGCGGAACGAGGAAGCTATAGTGGTTTTGCAATGAGGTTTTTTTAATTTAATTTTTTTTTATCCTGTATACAAAATTTCTACCAGAAGGAGTTCTTCGATTTAGATTAAGATAGTACTTTAAAGAGGTAATTCTTTGATTTCCTTAATAGTTATTTAATGCCATGAGAAAAACCACTGACAAATTACGAAAATCAGCTAAAAACGGGATTTTAATTTCTAACGCTTTGTTTATCAATATTAATATAAAAACGAATAAAACATAATAATGTTATAATAATATTAATTCAACTTTCAGGCTATAATAAATAATAACAATATAAAATATTCAGACTGGCAAACCGTCTCCGCTTAGGATCGTTTTTCTTATACAATGATATTTTATTATTGAATTCAAGTTTAATACAATCCATTATCCATTGACCCACTTGTAACCTACTGTATAGCCGAACGACATGCACTTAGGTACCAGCTTTTTTTTATAAAAAATTTACTTAGCCATGATGTTCAATTAGTCTCATTGGATTTTTTTGTGTAGTCGTCATTATTGGTGTAAGTACAATAAATTATAATCTACTAGCTGAACCCGTGCACTTTGTTGACCGTTATATGTACCAATTCTATATGACTCAAACTTTGTTCAATTCGTTATTTAATACTCGGTGTAAGGTGCTCAAAATTTATCTTAACTTTTCCGTTGCCCGGAATAATAATAATAATCTTGATTCGCAGCAGTATAATATTATTAACAGGTAGGCCCCCGTGATGTTTGTACTTAAAAGTTAAGTGTATGATTTATCAAAGTTATATCAAGTTTGTCGTATTCTACCTATGGTGGATTAATATAATCAATTAATACAAAATCTTAACCTAACCTGTTGCGTCACTGTTGTACTTTTGACATACAGATTTCCTACTTTTCCGGTGGATTTTTCTAAAATTTTCTTTCGTACAAACCTTCTCTGTTATATACTCTTTCGTTTAAAAAAATCATGAAGATCTGATAAGTAGTTCCAGAGTTTACCCTGTACAAAGATTTTCTTTTCGCATTTATATTATAGGTACCTATAGAAGATATATATATATTATGTATTGACAAAAAATAATAACACAAATCAACAAAGATGCCCGTAACCAATAGCAAGCAATATACAATACACTATTATTATTTTAATCCTCAACTAAATTTTTTATTGTTTAGTTTATTTTTCTGGACAGATAGCGCCACTACTGTATTTTTTGACATCCAAATTTTCTAAAATTTCGGTGTATTTTCCTAAAATTGTATTACATAAGAACCTTCTCCTAACAATTACGAACACAACAAAAAAAGAATTAGAGAATTCGGTCCAGCCGTTCACTCGTGATGCGATGTCCAAGGGAAATAGAGATCCATTTATATATAAATAGATATTGTAAATAACAATTTAAGTCTTATATTAAAGAAATCTATATTTCAATATTATTATTTCGCATTTGAACTATTACAATTTATTTTTATAAAATATTATCTTATTTAACCAGGAATAAATGTTTATTTGATATTTATGAGATAATATATAATTTATATTATAAAGAACGTATATATTCTGAATTTAATTTGAAGAAAAGTGATAATTTTTTAATTAACATTGTATATAAAAAATCTCGATGTTGAGGCTTATCCTACAGAGCCGCAGGTTGCCGACCCCTGGCCTATATATGGAATACCCTCAGTACCTATATAAGTATATGCTTATATAAACATGAAGTGTAATAATGTTTAAAATTTACAGTTTATTCAGACGCTGTTCTTTGGCGGTTGTCTGTTTCATGATTTAATGAAAATACTGAACGGTCCCAACTGGTTGAAATTAGGTTCGAAATTTCAAACTATACTCTCGCTGAGTTTTTCGTCGATATTACTGCCAACTGGAATTGTAAGTTATATTTTTGGATTTATTTAGTATATTAAATTAAAAATATCCATGTCCAATAAACATAAACAAAATATAATGTAAATATACCTACCTGGTATAAAACCTATTGGTATAAACTATAAAGTAATAATTAATTATTTAATTGGGTAATTTCAACACGGAATAGAAACGATATTGATAATCGTATTATACATAATTGTAAGATAAAATTATGTTTAGTAATTATGATTATCATATTTTATCAGTCACATTTATACATAGTGTTATCACTATTCGTTATTTAGTGCAAACTACAAAATAGTATATAAATGTGTAAATCTCTGATATATATATACATAATATGCCCATGTTCTATAGTAATGATGATAATAATAATAATAATATAAATGAAAGCTGGTGTTGGCAGGCTTCCTGTTAATTGCCACATAATGAAAAACATCAAATACAATTATTTTAAAACTTTAAACAATAAACATTATAATTTATAGACTGGGGGACGGAGTGGCCGACGCTGGCTTGATACCTCGGTCATGGGCGGCATTTTTCTTCGGGCAAGTCACGGTGCCCAGAGAACAAGTGTCGCCATCCCCGGGAATGGCAGGTACCTACGGGTGCCCAATCAAAAATTCTGCAAAACAAACACACACGCCCCCCCCTACCAACATAAAAACCTACAAAACCATACAGCTAATGGCCACATAGTCACCGGGGTTAAGATCAATTAAAAAAAAAAAAATGTATAGACTAATTTATCAGCTGAATATATTATTATTATTATTATGCATTTTTGTATGTTTTAGTTTGTATGTGTCACATTTTGGGCAATGTATGCTTACGATCGTGAAATTGTCTACCCAAAAATAGTGGATAGTTACATACCGTATTGGCAAAATCATGGAATGCACACAATTATTTTACCACTTATGTTGGCCGAATTATTTACTACCAGACATAAGTTCCCTTCGGTCACGGCTTCAATGTCGATATTTTTGGGATTCGGTATTCTCTACGGACTCGTGTAAGTATAATATAGTTATTACCGAGCAAGAGTTAAAAAAAAAATAAAAACATATTGATTTATACATTTTATTTTATTTTTAGTTTTTTGGAAACGTACGTGGAAAAAGGACGTTGGGTATACCCCTTATTCGGCCTGTTTAGCGTACCGATTTCATTGGGTATTATGGCTGTTTTATTTATCAAACTAATGTCGTTTTTATTTATCGGTATATTTATCCAAAACATGTACTGGGGTAAGTACAAATCCAAAATGGATATCTTTCACATAATATCTAAGCTAATGTATAAATATTAAATGCATACAATGCAATACATTTACCAATTTTATTGTAAAAATAGCATAAAACCAAAAACCATAGTCACCGAGGCTTTATAATATAAAAATAAAACAAAATATCAAAATGAATGATACATTTAATCAATAGGTAGTCAAAGCCATAATGTTTACTTAAAAGTATTAAAATATTATTTAGAGTAAATAAAACATAAACATTGGGTAATATACTAATATTAATATTATTGTATAATCATTATTTACTTATTCTTATTACTTAGTAGCCAGTAGGTACCTATACTGAAGCTAAACATATAAGTAATGTACTTAGTAACCTATATACTATTATAACTGTATAGTAATAAAGTTATATTTATATAGTGTTGTTAATAGTTGTTATACGTTTATAGGTATCCGTTTAAAGGGTTTGGGGACAGTTAATTTTTAAGTTAATTTTTTTCTTTTACATAATATTTCTTGTAGAAAAACAATATTATTTTGAAAAATATTTTAAAATTATTTTCTAGATTTGATGACCATAATATTATTGTCGAATACGTTCATTAGGTTTTACTGTTCCTAGGATCCATTTTGTTATCACTTATCACCAGTCCAATTTTCATTCAATATTGTAACATTGAACTACTTTTTACCTTACAAACGGATTTACGTACGCCGTAGTAGGTGAGATGGTGTGGTCTCCGGTTACGAATAAAATAGGACCTATGTTAAAAATGATGGTTAGTCGTGATAAGATTATTCCTATAAAAATTACACAAAAAATGTTTGTCTGGCTTAAGTAAAATAAAATATGACGTCCCTATATATATATATATATAAGATGTGTGAAGCAGTGCAGTATTACTTTGATCTCCAATAATTTAAAATTGTAAATGCTTATGCCAGGTTGCATCTTGAATAAAAAATGTATTAATTTAATGGTTCAATAACATTTACTGGACCAATCATGGGCCACTATAAATCATATTTAATACGGTCTATTAGATCACTATTGGATTCATTAAATTTTAGTGATTACTCATCTAACACGACATAATACATACTTTTTAAAATAAAACAATTATCCAAATATTCGTAAGATTATTTTTCCTCAGGAAATCAGGAATTAAAAATATAGGTACTTACATTGTAATAAAATAACAAGTAAAACACTAAAAATCATTATGATAGAATTATAGAAACATACCTACCTACTTGGAGTTGTTTAAAAACTTTTTTTTCGAAAACAAATATTGATCAGGATAATTATATAATAATATAATATCATAATGTATTCACCTATATATTATTATTATAATTAAAGTGATCTGCATGTTCTATTAATATTATTATGCAATAACTTATCATATCTACTGGTTACTCGATACAATTTGATATATATGTAGATATGCCGAGTATAAATATTTTGTACTGAACATTCCTTTATAAGATATTCTTGAAATAATTTATAGTTATTATAATGATGTGAAGTATTTTGCGTGATAACTAGTCCATATATATTCATGATTAAATTTAATCTTATCGATTTATCGAACATTTTAATTACATTATAAATATTTTAAATGACATTGAATAATATATAATTTATAATGTTAAAGATATATAATTAAAACAGTTATTTTATTTTTGCATTACCTATCTATGAATATGTTATTTTGTATGCAATAATCATAGTTTTTGCTTTTCAGTAATCAATATCTATACGATGTACTAGGACATGTTATATATATTATGTGGAGTTTAGGACGTATTTAAACTTTTTTAACTTAAAAAGTATACTGAATGGTGCAGTTGTGCAATACAATATAAGAAATTTCAGTAGCGTACAAAGATATTTTCAATGGAAGGGGTTATTATACAATACAAAATGAATAATGATACATAAATATATACTTACATCAAAATATTTTTTAATTGAATTCGTTTTTATACGTATAGTAAAAAAAAATACCAAGAACACCCAAAACTCCCTCCCAACCCATGTATAATACAGTGAGAATTTGTAATGTAACAGAAATATGATCACCTGAAGCAATGCAATACGTTTACAATTTATTTTAATCTTTAAACATAATATTTTGTCTAAACTTTTAGTAAGGTTTTGTACACCAATAAACTCAAGACGTTTATTTTTTTAGCCTTAAACTGAGTCTTTGTAATTTTTATCATATTAGCTTTTCATTAAATCCTCTTGTCGATTTAATCGACTTGATAATTTGTGAAATTTCAAATACCTTAGAGTTCGCGTTTAAAATGTTTAAAATTGAAAAATGTTTGCATATGAAGAATAATCTTATAATTTAACTTACAGTGAAATTATAATATAAAATCAAAATGAGGGGTCCCACTATTATAAATATCGAAAATCAATCTATTACAACGGCACTTCGGACCTAACCACCTACAGCCACCAACCGTGGACGCTATATAGACGCTATTGTAATTATTAGTATACTAATACTACTATAGGTAGGAATGTCGCTCTAGCTCTATAGGAACAGCTGAACGAAGCTTAAACTGTCTCGGGCTGTTGCCATGTGCAATTAAAACAGTTATTTTATTTTTGCATTACCTATCTATGAATATGTTATTTTGTATGCAATAATCATAGTTTTGCTTTCAGTAATCAAGATCTATACGATGTACTAGGACATGTTTATAATATATTATGTGGAGTTTAGGACGTATTTAAACTTTTTTAACTTAAAAAGTATACTGAATGGTGCAGTTGTGCAATACAATATAAGAAATTTCAGTAGCGTACAAAGATATTTTCAATGGAAGGGGTTATTATACAATACAAAATGAATAATGATACATAAATATATCTACACATCAAAATATTTTTTAATTGAATTCGTTTTTATACGTATAGTAAAAAAAAATACCAAAACACCCAAACTCCCTCCCAACCCATGTATAATACAGTGAGAATTTGTAATGTAACAGAAATATGATCACCTGAAGCAATGCAATACGTTTACAATTTATTTTAATCTTTAAACATAATATTTTGTCTAACTTTTAGTAGGTTTTGTACACGCCAATAAATCAAGACGTTTATTTTTTTAGCCTTAAACTGAGGTCTTTGTAATTTTTATCATATTAGCTTTTCATTAAATCCTCTTGTCGATTTAATCGACTTGATAATTTGTGAAATTTCAAATACCTTAGAGTTCGAGTTTAAAATTTTTAAAAATTGAAAAATGTTTGCATATGAAGAATAAATCTTATAATTTAACTTACAGTGAAATTATAATATAAAATCAAAATGATGGTTCCCAATATTATAAATATCGAAAATCAATACTATTACAAACGCACTTCGGACCTACCACCTACAGCCAACCAACCGTGGACGCTATATAGACGCTATTGTAATTATTAGTATACTAATACTACTATAGGTAGGAATGTCGCTCTAGCTCTATAGGAACAGCTGAACGAAGCTTAAACTGTCTCGGGCTGTTGCATGTTGCATTTGGATACAATTTTTTGGGAAATGAGGATTTTAATTAACAATATTAAAAAATGATGATAAATTAAAATCTATGTTATTTAAAAATGTAAATAAATAAATAGAAAAGCTTGTAAAATATACAATTGTTCCGATAGATTAAGAACAAGATTTAAACATTGTAAAATTTAACTAATAGTTGTATGGTTAAAATGAAAATTAGTATAATTAATTTTAATTAAAAATTAATTATTTTCAGGAAAAGAAGAAAAGAAACGATATCGAAAACCTGTTAAGAAGTCATCCTAATACAAAATAGTACAAATAATACCATGTATTTTTTCCGAAAAAAAAAACTATTATAATTTAATAAAATGTTTATAACTAAGCATATTTATTAATTTAATTTAATTTATTAATATAGTTATATTATAGTTTGCATATTGTGATTCAAAATGTCATGTTATAATAAATATTAATAATGTTAATTTTAATTTTATAGTATATACATATATTATACCTACCTACTATTTTAAATGTATATAATGTTATTTTTATACTTATATGTTGTTAGTATGTGTATTTTAATGTTTTCATGTTTTGGTGTTTTTTTTTCAGTTATTCCAGAAAATATAAATACATTATGAAATAATTGTATTTTCAGTTGTGATTATAAGTACTAAATATTAAACTTTTATAATACTAGAAATTAGAATAGTACTACACAATTCAAACAAACTAAATGTTTATAATAATTATAGAAAAATATTCTGTTTTAAAACAGAAACTTTTATTTACAACGAAATTAACATAATATTATATAACTATTTAAGTTAAATGTTTAGCAGATCACATATGCCGGGTCAATTATTAATAATACATCTTGTATTTGATAATTTAAGTATTACCAAGTTTATTACTAATTCAAGACTTATTCATTTATTTTCTTGGATGGAAAACAGTCAAGTCTTTTGAACCTGATTAATTTTAATGGTATTTATAATTTATAAATACATAGTAACAGTATTACCAAATATATATACAAATTTTAAATTTCTATAATAACTACAATATCTACTATTAAATCCAGCTATTACTATCTATGCGTTTTACCTATATATCAGAATTATAATTCAGTTATAACTTATAACTTATAAGGTAGGTAACTAAGATAAGCGTGTGGATGGATGGATAAGTGGATAATTAATTGAGAATAGATAAACTTGTAAGTATTTACTATTTTGGCAGAATAATGTATGAACTTGGTATTATATAGATGGCATAAAACTTGTATTCACAGTGACTTGCAAGTTACTTTTTAGAAGTTATGTAATGAAGTTACTCAATTTAACATAGATATCAGTGAATAAAAAAAATAATTAAAATACTTTTTCATTACAAATAAATTAAGAGGACGTCATACCCACATGAGTTCTTTCCGTCTTACACACTTACGACGCGACATAGACAAAACGCGTTAAAGCAGTCTGGGTAAAACCCGTTAAATTTTGGTATTAGAATAAAACACCTATCACAGAATTAAAAAAATGACAATATGTTAGAGGGCAAGACGTTAATTTTTTTTTTAAAAATTTTAATTTTGATAAGTTTAAAGTATTTTTAAAAATGCAGTTGACATTTCTAAATGATATAATGAACGGGATGGAGTGGCCGAGCTGACCACGGCGTCGGCTGTGACACAGTCTACCCGGGTTTGATTCCGGCCACGGGTGCAGGCATTTTTCTTCAGGCAAGTCACGGTGTCCAGAGAACAAGTGCGGCCATCCCCCATATTCCCCACCCGGCACATGACAGAAACCTACGGGTGCCCCATTAGAAATTCTGCCACAATATAACACACACACGTGTACCAATCTACCCAAAATAATACTCACAGTTCCATCCCCACACCCAATGGCTTATGTTGTCGAGGGTTATCCAATAGAAAAAAAAAAATGAATGTTAAATTGGGTATAATGGAAAAAACACAACGACTCGCCTTCAGAAATATTGTAATAATTCAATTTTATAATAGGTATTTTTACTCTAGAACCAAACTGAATGAGTTCTACTCAGACTGCGTAAACGCGTTTTGTCTATGTCGTACGTGTGTAAGACGGAGATAACACATGTGGGTGTGACGTCCTCTTAATGTAATATAACTGATTATGTAAATGTAATAAATTATATAGGAAAGTACAGCAGTAGACTCAACTGGTGGGGAGATGGGCAGGGTGGCATTTACCTGGTCGCCCCCGCTGTTAGGCTGCGTATGAGCTAGTTTTAGGCATTCATATAGTAGCTAATAGGTAATATAATATTTAGGCATCCCTCTACATAATATTATGTATTAGTTATTTAATAAATGTTATCTCTCAAAAAAAAATGGGTTATTTATGCCTATTTATATCTATAGTAACCCATGATACAAACTAGTAAATTTAAAATTATTCAAGAAGGCTATTTGTATTGAGATAAATATTCAATTGTGATGTAATGTAATATAACTAATTGTTAGAGAACGGCTAATCCAGCAATCCAGCACTTATCCAGGCTAATACAGTGCAATCCAGCGTATTATGTTATAAGGAGTAATATTTAGTCAATTCACATGACATGAATATTTATTATACTACAGTTTTTGGTCTAAAACGTACGAAAAATAAGTGTGCTTCGATCCCCTTAAACACACCTTCTTCTTCTTTCTAACTTAAACACTTAGAAAAAAAAAATGCTCCTATGTATTAAAACTTTAAAACTTTTTTTTTATAAATACATATTCGTTATCATACATACTATTAATATTTTAAAATTGGGTAATTTATTTATTAATTACCTATTACAAGAAATAATGTTTGTATCTAATTGCATGTTCATTGCAGGTATAGGTACCTATATGAGTACCTACATTTTTATACAAATTAATAGAAGGTCCATAAAAATAATGAATGTAATGTATCTATAATGTATTAATTTTTACATATTTATTAATTCGGTCATACCAATTTTTACAAGCAATATAAATTTAATTTTAGTTTACATACAATGTGTATGATACAACATTCGCTGCAGATCGGACTAAATACAATTATTGTCATTGTCATTTGCCATTCTGAATGCAGACTTTTATGCTCTATACTCAAAAATACGAAGATATGGAAGCTTACGAATCGGCTATCTTCGTTGAGATCGAGTTCATAGAGGACATTATATTCAGTCTGATATTAATTGTATCGATGGAAGAGACATGCAGCTCTGTCGATGACTTCGATGACCGAGACCAACTACGTCCGTTGACGACGAGAACTGAAGGTTGCAGCACAACTGCATCGAGTGCACCACCACCGACGAAGAAGGACTGGACGGCGATGCCGCGGCGTTGCTCGTAGATGCGAAGGCCGTTCAGGCCATAATGGCTGTGAAGTCAGATATAGTTTGGAGGATCTTGTCGGTTGTCTGGACCCTGAGCAACACCGTCGGGAAGCCGCACCGCCTATCCAGGTTTTGCCTGGAGTGGCGTCAATCGAGCGTTTCGTCAGTGTTTCGGGTGTTGCAGCGGGTCCTACGTTACCCCTTGGCCCTTGTCCGAAGTCGACTGATGCTACAGGACGACGCAGCGACCGGAGAAGAAGCACGGACGGGATGAAGGTGACGAGTGACTCGTGCTGCAGTTCTCCGGACCTATCGAGGCGCGGCTTGACGAAAGACGGCTAGCAGTTCCGCTCCGACGTTAAGCCACCGCTATGACCTGCAGTGTTGAGCCACGTTTGGATTTTGTCCTAAATGTTCAGCCACTTTAAGCCACCCGTTAAATATTTTTTTCCATTTAAATCAAACATTTTTTTTTTTGTTTTGTTTAATGGGCCACTTTGAACCTTGTTTATAAAAATGTTAAAAATGTTCAGCCACTTTGGGCGACGTTCTTTTGGTTTCAACTTTAAGCAATAAAATCATACTATTTGTGTACACAAAATAATTTGTTAATTTTTTCATATTGTCGTGTACCTAAATAAAAATCAATCGTTTTATAGAAATCAGAATTAATAAAAAATAAAAGTATAAAACAGTTAAAATACCTATTGCCTGTATTAAATTTTTCAGATTTTAAATTGCGCCTATAATGAACAGGTAGCAAAAAATAAATAGTATAGTAAAGTACACCAGGCATCTTTTGATTTCTAAAAGACGAAACATTAAAATGCAAAAGTTAAGACCTTAGAAAAATTGCAGTAATCGAATAAACTGTGTAAATCACAAGTCATTTAACTTTATCAATAAAAACATTTTAATTTAACTTTGTATATTTTTAATGCATATTATTATAGTTTCCATTTATTTATTTTATATTAGTAAATAATTTTTTATGGATTATAAATTTTTAATTTATATCTCATGGTCAAATACTTCTATGTGCATCTAAAATTGATTATATTATGTCTCGCGTTTCAAAAAAAGAATGTACGTACTTAGGAATTTGTTTTGTTTTTTTTTTTGTTACATTATTAACTAATTTAAACAATCTGTAAGTTGATTTTTTTACAATAAGTACAAGCGCCGTGGGAATTGATGGGTCGGAGGCTTGAAAGAAGAATTCATCTAGTGATGGAACTTCTTGAAAAAAAATGTTAAATGAAAAAATATAGGTGATGTAAACAAATTTGAAATTTCAAGTGTTTTCGTCTATGCGATTGTTACCTATATTACAAACATAGCCCCCATATTTTATAAAGTATAAATCCATTATCAAGGACCTTTTGTCAAAAATCAGATTTTGAATAACTGCATTTTTGAAGAATGCTTATTGAACCACCCTGTATTCACACATAACGTGTGATAAAAAAAATCAATTTGCAAAGATTTTAAAAAGAAAAAAATCTGTCGGTAATTCGTTTAACTGAATACTGAAATGTAACTGCGCTATTAAATAAGTAAATATTGAATGATTAATGATTATACAGGTATATCTATATTGTATATGTATATTTTTTATGTTCCACTCAATGCCATACCCATACGATTTGTTGCAGTCAATAACATATCATAATAATTAAAAATTCGTTAGTCATTAATTTATTGTTATTACTTACAATTAAATTAAAACTATACATACATAATACAAATGCCCTTATTTTATTAATTGTGATATAATATATTATAACATGATGTATAATGGGACTATTATAATATAATAGATATACTAATAAGTAATAACTTAAGTAGATATAGTATTTTACTGATTGGTGTAAATGTGTAATGACTATAAAATATCTAATACTCAAATATCAAACGGATAGACAATTTTTCTCTGTTCGTCGCCAGATTCATACCACACTAAAACCAAATAATTGAGAATTTGTATTGAAAAAATATACTATACAACAGGTGTGGTCGTCGGTTTTAATGTCAATTGCAGTATACTATTAATATATTGTGTTACATAATTTGTTGAGCTTTTAGGTTTAGGTACCTACTACTATACATAAACGGTGAATTATATGAATATAGATTTAATACAACCAATATAAGTATATCATCATTTACAATATCATGTATGATGCAAGGTATTTGTTTAAAGTCAATCTGATGATAACATAATTTAGATTATTCGCAAAATTAAAACGGGTAAGCAAATAGTCTGTTAACAGTATCTATACAATATATTTATAATAATAATAATAATATAGTCTAGAACGCCTACAGTAAAGGTTTATAGGCCTATATGCACATGACCTATGCAGATTAAGTACTTCTTAATTATTATTTTGAACTGAGATAAACTATTACAGACCTCGCAAGCAGTGTGTTATTTAAATTTATTATTGAGGTACCTATCTATAGATTATTTTTCGATCCCAAATTCATCGAGTTCAATATAATATAATAAAGTTACACAGGTTTATAATATAAATTTGTGTATATAGGTACATTATAGTATTATACACACACAGAAATCTGTCAGAATTTTCGTTAATTTCGACAGCGCATTTTTAATTATATGAGTTACCGCAGGTAAGCTTTATCGACATTTTTAAGCTGTCTTGAAGCCAGTGGGGGGTAATTATCTTGCTTTTTACTTACAGATTACCTCAGCTATATAAAAATACAATATTAATATTATTATTTATGAAATAGGCCTATGGCATATGCGTAAAGGTAAAAAATATAGTTTTTAAGGCGTCGTCTATAATAAATATATAGACATGTATATGTATAGTATATAGATAGGTACTAAATAAAAATATAAAAAAGCTACAAAATACAAAATACGAGTAAGTAAGGCAATCGGCTTTCGGAGACTAGACAACGTTCGAGGTGGAAAATAGCTCGAGTAATTAAAATTGCTGAGATATCAAAAATCAAAATCAATTGCAGTTATAGCGTCCGAATGATAATTCGAGATATCGAGAACTTCGATTTAGGTACCTGTAATATAATATTGACCATATACTGAGTCTTATACAGCAGTTATTAGGTACCTTAGAGGTATATGTTGGCTGTTGACAAACTAACCTAACTTAATCTCCCTAAAAAATCTCAAGCTCTATATTCACCTATGCTGAGAGATGATGGAAAACACCATATCATCTTATGGACATTAATTTCAAGACATGTGATTTTGAACTTTTGAACTCTTTAATGGCATAATATAATGCAGTTTGTGTTTTCAATTAATACAATTTATGAATACATATTTTTACTCTCTTTAGAGTAATTTATTATATATATATATATAGGTATTCCTGCCTTCCTGGAACATCATATATATTATGCTAGAGTAAGCACGATGTCAGGAGAACAGTATTTAAATTTTAAATTAATTTCAACAATGTTATATTTATAGAGAGGTGTGGACATCTTATCTAATTTTAGATTACTCTTTTCTAAACGGTCTTACAATCTCAACCTTAAATAATTAAAATTATTAATCTTTTAGTTCGATTACAATATATGTGTGTAGTTCACGTCATCATATTTAAACTAGTTTATAAGGAAAACGCCGAAACATCCTGTATACAATAATATATATCTAAATTTAGTTTGTTTTTTCATTACGAAAATTGCGACGTATGTATATGAAGAACCCTCCGCGAGATGCAATAGAAAAGCTCCAATAACAAAAAAACACACACACAGATCAAACATAATATGCCAATAATTTGTTTGATGTGAATAGATTCTTAATCATACAAATAAATAAACAAATAATATATTTAGTATCACGACTTATAAACAGTAGGTAAGTAGGTAGGTAGGTAGGTACTAAATACAATATACATATTGTGTTACAATGATATGCCCATCACGTGATTGGTCGCTCGCCTCGGATCCAAAGACCGCGGTACAACAATATTATTACGACCTCCGCGTCCGCCGCCCTACACGATGCGCGCATATTATGTGCGTGTACCGCGGCAGCGAGCCGATCATTTCGGTCTGACATGTGCACGATGGTGTTGGTCAACAGCGGCGCCCGGCAACCGCCAGCGGCCATCGTCCGGTTCGTGGTCCACGGAACTCTGGCGTGGCTGTACTTCCACGTCATGTGGATGGCCGGCTCCGTGGACTGGGACTCGATCGTGTTCCCGACCATCAGCGAAGTGGGAAAGTTCATGTCGTTCATGCTTACGATGTGGACGCTAGTGAGTACCGATACCTTATACCGTGTGTCCACGAAAACATGGTACCTAAACTGTATAATTAAATTGTTCATGCTACTCAGTATACCTTATACCTACATATTTTTGAAGTCTGTTTGTGGGACATGGAACTAGACTATTGGTTATCAATCTTCCGCAGACAGAATTATAAAATATGTGTAGCCGTGTAGGGTACTCAGTAATGTGGCCTGTAGGTAAGTCGAGTTATAGAGTGTATCCAGTTTTTGAGGACACACCATACACGATATAGTTGGGGCCGGTGACTGCTGTACCTATATAGTTATAATATTATTATGTGTTATACAGAGTGTTCCGTTTGATGCATCAGTATGACCCTCCAATAAACTACCTTCAATAACCTTTCGATGAAGTATTGACGAGGTTTTTGAAAATATTTCTCTTACGTATAAATATTTAAGTCCAAAAAAAATATATTTTTACATTTTTACTATTTTTACTTTTTTTAATGGGGCAACATGCATTTTTGATTGCTATAAAACATAAAGATTACAAATTGTGCACAGTTGGCTTATTCTTAAGCAGAATATTGTTTGAAGTAGGTACTTCGATATATAAAATCTAATTTTGGACGAGTATAAAATATAGATTATGGCTTATAAGTACCTAGTACTTACTTAAGTTTAGATGAGTAAAATGGTATAGTACAATAGGGTATGCCACAGAATGTTAGTCTACTACTCCGCATATCCGCTCATATTCCTACTTATTATACTTTAAATACTTACAGCTATAATAATAAACTACTTGTTGGTTTAATTACTGTAGATCTAAATACTTTTTTTTTATTAGATTTTTACTATCTATGCTTGACAGCACAATAAGTAAATTTGATCATTTATATACAATAATTTTAACTTCAATAATATGAAGAGGGAGGCCAGCCAGTGATGGAACTCAACGTGAAAAGATCGAAATACTTAGAATAATATTCTGCTTCGGAGCATAAAACTAAAAATGTATATTGTCATTTAAAAGAATAAAAAATACAATAATAATTGTGTTCCAAACATTTTGTTTTCTAGTGAATTAAAATTATAATATAAAAGAAATATTTTCCAAAACATTACTTTTTTTTTAATAATGAGTTTCATAGATACGTTATGGATAACCCCGTTTAATATATTTTACTTGTAATTAATGATTTGGGTGTTGTTTTGACATTTAATCTATCGTTTGAATTATACTATTTATACATATTAAATTATGGTGTTTAGCAAAGTACTTAGTACATTACTCATTAGGATTTGTAAAAAAAAGTATAATTGATGTATTTTTCTAAACCACATTGTCTGAAAACAATTTACTTTGCAATAATCCGTTCTATAGTTAATACAGCTCGGTAGTTTGGAATACATCTCAAATTGGATTAACAAATAAGCTAGACAAATTGCAAAGACGTTTTCTCCGAATAATATCTACTAAATTAGGTATGGAAAATTATCCATTAAATGTCATAGAGGAACGATGAGGTTTAAAAGCTTTAGCAAAAAGACGTGCGAGCCGTAAGTTGTTTTTTAATTCATAAATATTGGTAAATACTAAATAATATGATTGATTGTCCAAAGATCACAGAAAAGGCTTCTTGGAGAATACCCATTGTAAATACCCTTTCTTAACTTTGCAGCATTTATATTAAAACATTTTCACTACAGACCAGGCCAAACCCATGATTATTTACCAGATAGGTATGCACCGGGTCTTGGCTTAAATACTTTAGCTCAAAGATGGCTTAAGGCTAATTTAACTTTTCTCGACGTCTTATTAATGGTAATTAGTATTATAGACTTTTTTGAACTGATACAGATTAACTTTAAAGCCTCGTTCTTTCATGTCCGTCATATTTATTTATTTTAAACACGTATAAATGCAACACCGATTATGCCAAAAATCAGCCATTAAACTGAATGATATGAGTATAGCCAATAATCGAAACGCACCCGTCGTCTCCGTCTTACTTGCCTACACAAAACATACCAATATTTACTTTCAGAAGCTTCAATTTTCTGTTAACGTAAATATAAAAGTGAATTTACCTATTATCAAATTTAAAGGTAAGAACATCTGTGTTCTTTCTTTAGATTTTTATAATATTTTAATTTGTAATCGAGTTATACGATGAGTTTGAAAAGTATTAGTATTTGAAAAGGCTCACAACTCACTTATAAAAATTTAAATATCGTTAAAAACCAAAGAGAGAACATAGATTAGGCATGTGGTTACCTTTAAGTTTATTAATTATAGGACTGCTGCAATTCATTCACTCTAATATAAAAGATAACCACACAAAATTGAAACTGCTGAACTCACACATTTTGATGTGTTTTGTGTTACTAAGACTGAGGCAGGTTCTACAAAGGCAAAATAATATAACTGGATAATATAAACGTATTTTGTATCCAATTTTATCTTAAAAACCTGAACTTTTCAAACGTTAACAAACAAAAAAAAGTAATAGGTAATAAAGAAAAAAATACATAAATTGTGTAAAACAAATTATACTTATATCACTTAAAGCTCAGACTAAATACAATTCTGGTTTGAAACACGTTTGTGTGTAGATATGAAACTACCCTCACTCTTTAACTATTAGCAGTGTATCTGAAATATTTCAATTATTTTCAAATGATTTATAGTCAATGCAACCATTTTTCGTTTAGGAAATTGCAGTTATCATCCTACATTTTAATAGACGAATCCAGGTATTTATAAGTCTTGTATACGCTGTACATACCAAATAATAATTGTTTGTACCATTTTCAATTTTAAATTTCGATTCTTATACTCGATTAAATAGAAAACTTCTATTAAAATAAAAATGTATTTTATTTGCATAGTAGGTATAGGTAGGTTAGGTAGGTACCTACTAAACTATATTTCAATTTTGAGCACATACATACATTTTACTTTCTATCAAAATATCATGTTGAACTGAGTTGATGACAAATAATAGATAAATCCGATAAATAAAACACCAATATAACAGAGTTCAAATGTTATTGAGTCTTGGCCAATTGTAGTATTGTACATTTGTACGTCAAAACTATATTATATTGTGTAAATTTTTTTTTAGATACCTATGATAAATTTGTTTGTTTGATATACTTGTTGGTTTCCTTGATGTTTTCTTGGGCCACAAAAGCACTAAACTTGACTGTAGTAAAAACTATAAAATAGCTACTTATAGCCACTTAGGTACCTAGTGTATAATAAAGATCATTAGATTAAAAATATATATCTACAAAAATTAATGTATATAATGTATTATTATTATATTAAAATATATACATTTTTAGATTCTGAGCGGAGCGATGAATGTATTGGTTTAACAATGATGTGTGTTTTTTTTATTTTTATTTTTTTTGTGTCTGTCATCACGTTTTAGGACAGTAAAAGTGCTTGGATTTTCTTCATCAATAGCTTTTCTGATAGGAAAGTGAATCTAGTTGGTAATTTGGGGGGTCAAAAGTATAAATTTCTCCGTTATTTTTCACAAGCGCCGGGAAAAACAACATCAAAATTAAGGAAAAACGGGAATTTTTACGCAAAATTGATTTTCCAGAAAATCGATTTTGGTTATTGGTGTAACTCTAAAACAAATGAACGTATATACATGAAATTTTCACTGATTGTTTATATTTGAATTTTATATACACTATAACATTTTCAAAATATTTTGATTTATTTTGAACTGTTTAGGGACATTTTCATTTTCCATTTTTTTTTAGTTTTTTTTCTAAAAATATCAATAAAATTTTATTTGTTGGTTGCAATAGCTTGCAAATTTAATAGAAGGCTCCTTAATATATTGTTTCAAAGGCAGATGAAAAATATTAAAAATCCTTACTCACAATTTTTTTTATAAGCATTTAAAGTTCAAAAATTGACAAAATATGGAAAAATCACGAAAATTAGCAAATTATTTTGAGTTAAGAATTCGTAAAAATTTTTCTTTTTAAATCTAAGATTTGAAAATGAAACACAAGATTCCTTATAAGATTATCTACCTTTATCAATAAAAAAATCTCTACCGGACAGTCAAATTAAATTTTTATGAGCGTTTGAAATTCAAATTTTTACAACATTGGATATTCACTCGATTACTCATGTAGCGATTTCCTTATTTAGTTACAATTCAAAAACGAACAACTGTAGATACATGAAAATTTCACTGAATGTTTAAATTAGCATTTTCTATACACCATACATTAATATTTGACTCTTTTTGAGCTGTTTATGGACATTTACAGCTTTCAATTTTTTTTAGTTTTTTTTTCTATAAATATCAATAAAGTTTTATCTGTTGGGCCAAAAAGTGTAAAAATTTAATACAAGGCTTCTGATATATTGTTACAATAGCAGTTGAAAAATATTAAAAATACATTGGCACAGTTTTTTTTTATAAGCATTTAAAGATCAAATTTTGACAAAATTTATCAAAATCCCGAAAATTATCAATCATCGTAATTAATAAATTATAAAATGTTCAGTTTTTATAGCTAAGGATTACAAATTCAACACAAAGGTTCTCATAAATAGTTCATACTATAACCAAAAAATCTAAAAAATATATGAACACACTTATTTTTTACAGACATTTTAAATTCAAATTTGGACTAAATTACATATTAAAAAACCTAGACTAACTATTTTAGTTATTTTGTTGTGATTGAATAATATTATTCGTGGGTACTTGAAACTTCTAAAGTGTACTATTATATATCTATGATAGTATCACGGTTTTTGTTGATGTATAACGCGTTATAAGTATCTAGTGGATATTGTGATATGATTAATTTGGAATTTATTATAGGTACCTATTATAGGTCAATTTTTTGTTTAATACCATAGATATGTATATAATATGTCTTATACCTAGACTGACATACCGTCTCCGCTCAGAATCGTTTTTCTTATACAATGATATTATATCAGTGAATTCAAATTTAATATCATCCATTATACAGTGACCCCACTTGTAACCTACTGTACAGCAGAGCGACACCCACTTGCCAACCTTTTTTTTTTAATGTTGTTAGTGATTATTATTATTTCATAATAATATAGTACCTAAATATTTAGTTTTGTGACGTATACCAATATTATTAAACTCTAATTTAGTAATCGATACACGATCGAAACTACTTTCATGCGAGTTACCTATATTGGAGAGTATTTAAACACTAATACAGTAATATTGTTGATTTACTACTAATGGAGGGATTCATAATGAAACGGAAATTATGCTAGTTTAGGCGCATGTGTCTGGAATTAGTGGAATCGTAATAATAAGGGTTGTATGACAGTAAAAATCCCTAAGAAAGTAAAACATGGGCAATATTTCAGCGAAGTATCAAGAAGAAAAATATATTAAAACCTTTGAATTTAGGTATAAGACATGTATCATGGTCGTTCAACATCATGTTTGAAATGTGTTCAAAAATGTGATCTCTGAGCTGGATCAGCTCTTTAATAGTTACACGAAAAGCTATAAATCAGAATATAATATTATTGCGCCATGAAAATGTCAAATTCTGCATTTTATCAATAGCTTCCTAATTATTACCCCACGGCTTAGTGCACTTTAGTATACAACTACGTCCTCGTAATGTTTCGTATGTTTGCTGTTGCAGCTATGATCTGAATTTATTGTTTTTGATTCAATATATTATTATTTAGGTAAGAGTAAAAAATAAAACAATATTATGCCAAGTGGCCCGAGGTTTAGTAAATCGGATTTTGCCTATTCTGGGCTTTCGAAAGCATGATTCATTTTTACGTTTGTGGTGTATTAAAATATTATGTTTCTTATCTACATTAAGTGTGCCCATACGTATTACCTAACTAGATGAGTTTACATTTCAAAATAATTTATAACTACACTTTTGATACCGTTTCAAAATTTTTAGGTGATTAATGTTATTAATATTTCAATGTTTTATCTCATATTCATATAATAAAAAATATAATAAATCTCTCGTAAGTGAGTCAAACAGTTAAAAAAATAATTTGAACAAATTCAAAAGATTACATGCAAGGTAGAGGTAACTACACATTTTCTAGTTTGATTTCATAATAATATTAATTAAATTATCAATTAACAATATTTAGTTATAATTTCTCAAGGACAAAGTTAGATAGGTACCTAATGAACTTGCAGTTTTATCGACAAAATAAAAAAATTACCTTAGATTGTAATATGTGTGAATATATTATGGCTTTAAATTTCAATATTTTAAAATGACTTATAGGTTATGTTTAATTACATAATGTGTTATATGTTTTAATGACAATTTATTAAAAAGACTTTGTCAAATTATATATTTAGTACCTATATATATTATTTGATTTATAAGATTTATTGGATATTAATAATAATATAAATAACAATTGTATATATTTAATTTAATTTGTATGCATAATGCATATCAATAATGTTTATAATTTTGTAGTTCCTAATAAAATACATTTTCCTATATTTAAAATAACGTATTCAATTTTGGTAGGGACAAAAAAAACGTTATTTGGTCAAGTGGTACATGAAAATAGCCAAACTGTGTAGGTGGTACCCGGATATAAAAAGGTTGAGAACTGCTGCTCTAGATAATATTATACTACAATTATCCTTTTAATTTTGATTAAACGTCAATTTACTCTAATATTAAAAATAACAGAGTTAAAATGGCTTATCCTGTTACCTGGTTCCTAAAAAATATTTTTGAAATTTAATAAGTTTTTAAGTTTAGTTATGTTATTTGTACGATAAAAAATAATGGTAAGATACAAGACATGTAGGAGTGTCCTGCTGTTAGAGTTATTGCAATTCAAAGATATTATATTAGGTATCAAATATGCATGTAGCACTGTGCTGCAGTCTTGTGAAAATTGAAAAAACTATTGTTTATATTATGTTTTAGATCATGCATTTAGGATTTTTCACGATAGCTACAATATTGGATTTCTTTGAATTGATGCCAAAGTCGGTCATTATCGAAAAATTGGTCAACAAAATTCGAGAGGTTAATGACTTCTTTTTCATGACTGTGATGCTGCCAATATCTATAGTAAATATGTTTTTTTTTCTAGTCATTAGCATTTAAATTGATGTAGGTGATATAAATAAATAATAATTATTAGTGGCTTGGCTTGGCGCGTTGGCTCCTACCAGTCACGGAATGCGACTGAAAGTAAGTAACGCCTGCTACTACTAGCTCCCGGATGGGTGACCACCCGGGTTCGTAGTAGTAAAAACCTTGCCACACATACACGTGTTTGCTTACCTACTGTTACAACACCCCAACGTACCAACCTTACCAATCATAGTTCATAATCCCCTACAACAACTAATGGCCATAGTCGTCGGGCATAAATTCAATAAAAAAAAAAAAAAAATTATTGATATATAGGTACTCATACTATGCCTCTTTATATATACTGGGCTCTTGTTCATAATTGATATAAAATAAAATAATTTATAACAATATTATATATTTATATCTAATAAAAATGAACAGTGCATAATAATTACTCCCCTGATCGAGAAAAAAATAATTTATTAATATTGAGTCCTAGGATTATTTTGAGTAAAATATATAACTAAGAAATAATTTCTTTATTCGTGGCCTTAAACGCGACAATTTGATACATGCTTTTACCTCATCTGCCCGAGTTATATATATTAATTTAAATTATATTATTGATATATTACACACAATAATCAAACTTATTAGAATTAACATTAAAAAAAAGATTTTTAACATTTTTGTTACATACAGTTCTAATAGTCTGTAAAAATGAGAAGAAAAATGTTTTTATTTTTTAAGTTTGACTAACTCAGTTAGTATTTGAACATGGACTCAATTAGTATTAAATTTCAAATTTCAAGGACTCAATTAGTACATACGTACAATTAGGTACCTCTTAAAACAACCCGGGACTCAATTCGTCAAAAAAAAGGTTTTATTTTGGGACTCAGTTCATATGCAGCCAAAATAAATATTACAGTGATTATTCTGTATAGTTATTTAATTTAAATTTTTTTATAAATCAAAATCACTTAAGAGGACGCCACACCACCAGAAATAATTTATCAAAGAAAATTGTTATGCCTGGGTTAAGGTTACGGAGAAAGTATTCACAGTCAGCCTTACCAAATTTTATTTTTTTGATAACTTGAAGACAATCCAAATTTTAGATTCAGAGCATACCGATGAATATTATCTATTATTTACAATAATATGTGATTTTTATTATATTTTTTTCGGCCATCAACATTTGTTGTAGTAAAAATTCTCAGAATTTCGAAATTAGCATCTTTTCTGAAAGAAAAGTGAATCTAGTTGTGGCGTTTGGGAGGTTAAAATTGAAAAAGAGTTGAGTAAAACAAAATAATTAAGGAAAAATGAAAATTTTTACGCAAAACCATTCTTTGAAAAAATCGATTTAATTTGGTGTAGGTAACTCAAAAACTAAAAACTGTAGACACTTGAAATGTTCACTAACTATTTAATTAGCATTGAAATAAATGATAACATTTTCAGACTCTTTTTGAATCTTTTTGAGTTATTTAAAGTCTTGAAAAATTTTTGAAATTTTTGTAAATTTTTTTATATTACTGTCGATAAAATTTTTTTATTTAGTAAAAAAGCTTGAAAATTGAATTCAAGGTTGCTATAAGTTTCTTAAGTTCAAAAATATTAAAGATACATAGTCACGATTATTTTGTATGTTAATTTAAAGTTAAAATTGTTACAAAATTAATCAAAATCCTGAAAATTTGTAAATTATTTTTCAGTTAGAAATTCATAAAAGTTTTTCTTCCATACTTAACATTAACAATTTTAATAGAAGATTCCCACAAATTGTTTTACATTTAAAAAATTTAACGAAAAAAAAAAAGTTTACCGAAAGTTACGCAATTTATAGCCAACTCACAAGCACAAATAGCGTTTGAAATTTTTGGGAGGAGCTTAGTCATTAAAGCCAGTCCTCCCCCCCAAAATTTTTGCCTATACTTAAACTATTAGTTATATGAATAACAAAATAGAATTAAATCTTATATAACTTAACTATTCATTCTTACTGATTAATGTTGTGTTTTCATTTGTTTATTAAAAAATGAAAGAGCATTGATATAAAAAATATAAAACGATATTTCACATATAAAGTTCCCTTCTATCTAGTGTGAAAAATTGCTAAATCTATTGTAGAAACAATGTAAGAACTTGTAAGTCTGTACCCCGATAAACTGTTTTCCTTTACAATATCATTATTACCCAACAACCATAAACATGCTTTGGATATAGTAATTAATCATATTTAAGGATTTAAAATTAAACGTTTTAATTCTTCTAGAAATAACGAATTTAAAATTATATTAACCTATATTAACCCCCTTCAATAGCTTGTGTGCGTCGAGCTCTTAATACCAAGATGACTTATTATTTTATCATACTATATAGGTTATTATTAGTATACTATATAATTATTTTTAATTTTATTGAATAAATTACCAAATTTAAAATGTTTTTACTTAATAGTTTATATATACATATTACATAATATAATATCCACATAAAACATCCATTCAGAAAATATTTAAAATACATTTCAAAAACTTTTAAAATTGAAATAAGTAATAAATAAACACTGAAACATTTAGTACACAGCATATAGTAAATTACATATTAAATTAAAATTAAGTTATTTTAAATATACTGTTAAAAACTCAAACAATTTATTTTGTTTAAAAAAAAAAACAGTTTAAAACAATAAATACACCAACTCTCGTACTAGTGAGACTACACGAGGTGTCGGCAATCCGTGACCCTTATATAGAAATTTATTGTATGTGGTCCTCGATTAAAATTTATAATTTACTTATAGACATTATATTGCATAAAAAATCACGAACTAAGGTAGTATGGACTGGAAACAGCGGATTACCGATTAAAACAACAATTCGAACGGTACCTTCTTAAAAGCTAATAATAATTATTAATTCAAATAAAGTAAATTTGAAATGACCATACATTTTTGTTAGTAATAAAATAAGGTACCTATTTAAACTGTGGCCCGTAAAAAATGTGTATATATCTTTTTTACACATAAACATCAAAAAAGGTTACAGACTGCTGTTGTATTAGACCAATTATTATGATTTACACGTTAATATTATGTTACAGTGCGTGTGTAGCGGCTTTTGGTCTGCATGGGTATTATTTAACGACATTATTTATCCATCAGCTGTAAACAATGTCATACCTGTATTTATCAATCACGTGTCACATACAACTCCTATTTTCGTTGTGTTTATTGAATTGTGTCTCTGTTACCATGCATCGCCGAGAGTGAAATCCGCCATTGCCAGTCTCGTTACCGTTGAAACTATTTACCTATTTACGTAAGCAACTGTCTATAATATATTAATATATTATTACTGTCGAGTCTCGATAACTCAAAACTCCAGGGGAATAAAAACAAATTCACCTTGTGTATTTTTCGAAGTAATGTTTTATACCTCAAACACGCAACTTAAAAAAAACCCTTCAAGGGGAGAGAAAAAAAAATTTGAGTTATTGAAGTTCGTGTAATCGAGGTTTGAGTTATCAATACTCGACTGTTTATTGTAATTTATAATGGTATAAGGGTAATGTAGTACCTAGGTATATATTGAAATACGTGTATACAAATCAATATAATAGAGGATGAAGCGATTTAACTATTGTTTAAACTAGACATTTTTAATAATCTCTAAGTATCGCTGACGAGCAACAATTGTTCGAAAAAAAAATTATATACACTATAAGCCAAAAGTTTTTAAACTTTTTTTTGAGTACCATTCGTGTATATTACGAATCAGTCATGTACCACTTATGACTAAAAATAAAACTATTCAAAATGTTAAAATAAAAATAAAAAAGGTGGGTAAGTGGATGTCGCTCTGCTGTACTGTAGGTTACAAGTGGGTCACTGTATAATGGATGGTATTAAATTTGAATTCAATGATACAATATCATTGTATAAGAAAAACGATTCTGAGCGAAGACGGTATGTCAGTCTAGGTTTAAGACAAATTATATACATATCTATGGTATTAAAAAAAAAATTGACCTATAATAAATTCCAAATTAATCATATCACATTATCACAATATCCATTAGGTACTTATAACACGTTATACATCAAGATCAATTACAAACCCTGATACTATCATTGATATATAATAGTACACTTTAGAAGTTTCAAGTAGGTATACCCACGAATAATATTATATAATCACAACAAAATAACTAGGTTTTTTAATATGTAATTTCGTCCAAATTTGAACATAAAATGACTATAAAAATAAACTGTGATTGTATATTTTTTAGATTTTTCGGTAAGAGAATTAACTACTTACGTAGAATCTTGTTTTAAATTTTCAATCCTTAGCTATAAAAACTGAACATTTTAGAATTTATTAATTACGATGATTAATAATTTTCGAGATTTTGAAAAATTCTGTCAAAATTCGATCTTTAAATGCTTATAAAAAAAAACTGTGCCTATGTATTTTTAATATTTTTCAACTGCTATTGTAACAATATATCAGGAGCCTTGTATTAAATTTTTACACTTTTTGGCCCAACAGATAAAACTTTATTGATAATTGTAGAAAAAAAAACTAAAAAAAATTGAAAGCTGTAAATGTCCATAAACAGCTCAAAAAGAGTCAAAATATTTTCAAAATTGTATGGTGTATAGAAAATGCTAATTTAAACATTCAGTGAAATTTTCATGTATCTACAGTTGTTCGTTTTTGAATTGCAACAAAATAAGGAAATCGCTACATGAGTAATCGAGTGAAAATCCAATGTTGTAAAAATTTGAATTTCAAACGCTCATAAAAATTTAATTTGACTGTCCGGTAGAGATTTTTTTATTGATAAAGGTAGATAATCTTATAAGGAATCTTGTGTTTCATTTTCAAATCTTAGATTTAAAAAGAAAAATTTTTACGAATTCTTAACTCAAAATAATTTGCTAATTTTCGTGATTTTTCCATATTTTGTCAATTTTTGAACTTTAAATGCTTATAAAAAAAAATTGTGACTAAGGATTTTTAATATTTTTCATCTGCCTTTGAAACAACATATTAGGAGCCTTCTATTAAATTTTCAAGCTTTCGCAACCAACAAATACAATTTTATTGATATTTTTAGAAAAAAAACTAAAAAAAAATGGAAAATGAAAATGTCCCTAAACAGTTCAAAATAAATCAAAATATTTTGAAAATTTTATCGTGTATAGAAAATGCAAATATAAACAACCAGTGAAAATTTCATGTATCTACGGTCATTTGTTTTAAAGTTACACCAAAAACCAAATTCGATTTTGTCAAAAACTGATTTTGCGTAAAAATTCCCGTTTTTCCTTAATTTTTATGTTGTTTTTCCCGGCGCTTGTGAAAACTATTGGGAATTTTAAATTTTGACCTCCCCAATGCACCAACGATATTCACTTTCCAATCGAACAAGATACTGAAGTCGAAAATCGAAGCATTATTTCGACTACTTATCGTGTACACAGACACAAAAATAAAAAAATAAAAAAATAAAAAAAAAAAAAAAAAAAAACACACATCATTGTAAAATCAATACATTCATCGTTTCACTCAGAATCTAAAATTCTATACAAAAGATACTCGATTAACCGTCACTGTCGGTACCGGGACAATGACAGTTAACAGAAAATCAGCCATAAACGTATATACCTATGTTACAACGTGTGCACTTACTACTTATAATATATTTTCATACAAAAATAATATGAACAATATTATGCGTATGATAATACATAAAAAATTATACAAAATAATCGGTCATCCTTTTTTTTTTCTCTGAGAATTGAGCTTTTTGAGGGGCAATGTTCCATATTTTACGGAGAAGTAAAACCTGCCGTTATTGATGATCACGGATAACAGAGAGTGACGGTTAATCGAGTTTCTACTGTAGAATATTTATAAAAATAATGATTTAGGTACATTTAACAGTATTTACTAGTAAGTACCTATCTATTTACACAAAACGTAAAATCAAATATCATGTCCGTTACAAATTAAACGTCAGAAAAATTAATATTTATAGCTCCTACCGCGTACCATTGTTTGAGAACCACTGCTATACGCGTTATATATATATATAATATAGGTGTATAAAGCACAAAACTACCTGTAACTCTCACCAGAATACCGGAATACATTTAGTGTTAATTGTTACAATTAACGGAAAGTAGAATACTGTAGGAATAGATCTGAATAATTCCCCTTTGGTTTATTGACAATATGTCTATATTGTATATATTATGTTATTTTGTTTTTCATTGAGTGATATTGACAATATCAAATTACATATTATAGATAGGTAACTTAGAAGTATAACGATGCATAGATGATAGTAAAAAGACCATGCTTAAATACTATAGTTGATACGTTTGGGAGTTCTACCTTGCTGAGTAGATTGGCGGCGATGATAAATTTGATTGAGTCTGAAATAGAGTTGGGATTCTGCTGGTTGTCAATAATATGTTGTATTAGGTACCTTTTGTAGTGTCGTAAATCCGGGTGACTATTGGAACGATTTTGACCTTTTGACAGTTGTAACACATTCATTATTGATAATTAAATTCTGTAAAAAAATCATGCAGTGTCGCACACCTCCAAGGAATAGATTGAGCAAAAAAAAAATAAAGTTCTTAAGTTTATTAAGGAAAAAAAAATGGGTGGTCCAAGTCAGCCGGAATTTCCACTCGCTGTTATTATGACCTCTACTGCGCTTGCGCTCTAAAGGTACGGTTTCGTTTCTGCAGTTGACTGCAGCAGTCATACAAAATATCGGTGCAGTCGACTGCAGACTACTGGTGCTCAGACCAGTCTTGCAGTCGACTGCTGCAGTCAACTGCGTTAACGAAACCGTACCTTTAATTAGTCGCACCTATTTATTTATAGGCGCATATTGTGCAGGTCAGCTACTCAGCTAGAGCAGGCGCAGTAGAGGCCATCATAACCGCGAGTGGCGGTGACTTGTCGCTAACATGTACATCAAAATATTGAGTTATGGCTCCATCCACTGTATATGATCTAAGGTTGTATCACATGGCTTATTGATAAGAGATAACATATTTTCGATGATAACAAAGCGTTTACAAAACTTTCCAAAAAATATTGTTGTCGAAGCAGAATTTTATTTCCCTTATCTAGCATAAAATTAAACGCTGTTATCACAAAATAACACAATTGTTCCAAGTCATCTCCCCAGATCCAAGTCGCCCGTGGTTCAACTTCGGTACGATAATATTGTGTTACGTCTTACTGCGAGTGATATATATTATTACAAGAACGCAGAAGCTTCATACCATCCTTCAAAATGTAAACATATTAATTTCCCAAATCGAAATAAAATTTTACTTAAAATATTCTCGTAGATGTAGCAGTAAGTTTAAAAATATTGTTAATTTTTTTTAATGGGAACGGAAGCTACTATTTAGTATTTAATGACTAATAAGGGGCAACTATTCGCAATATAACATACACACGTTACCACGAGAACATAAAATCGATTAGACGAATAGATGATACACTTCTCTTAGGTGATGGAGTTCAGTAGAATTCAGTTTTTGAGTATTTCACATGACTCAATTAAATGATTTTCTTTTTACTGTTTAGAATTTTAGATGAAAACATTCTAATTGGCGAATTTAGCTCGAAATTAAGTCCGATTTCAATTAATTTGTTTATTCAAATTCTCAGTGGATTTCACAATAATTTCTAATTATTTTAACTTAAAACTTACTTCCTGAAAAATCTTCAAATATTGAAGAGTTCTTTTGTAAGAGATGGTCCTTTTTCTAATAAATTTATCTGAATCGGTTTTATGACAACTCCAGTTAGTGACGGTGCATTTTAGTATTTTTTCCAGAAAAAAACTTAGTTGTTTACGTTCCCCTTGATAAAAATGACGTTTTTGGAAATGTTTTTATTATACTTTATTCTTGATCAATGTCAATGTCATTGGCAAGGATTATTGACGTCTGTAATAATTATGGTGTCGTATTTTTTTCGAATTACGTCATACGCACTTAGGCTAGTGACCAAAAGATAATTCGCTGTGCTTACTTGGACAATATCGGGTCTGATGTTGCAGTTTGAGTATAAATCTGTTCTTAAAAAAAAAAATATTAAAATTAAAAATTCATCCAATACAATCGCGGACAGGGACAGCTCCATGGAAAGGGCTAGAGACCCCCCCCGCCCTCTCCATTAGACATATTGTTTCTCAAATTGATTATTTAATTCCTTGGATCATGACCCTACGTATGTTGTATATAATATGTTGTAATATAATTATTGCCCCCTCCCCCCCAAATATTTTCAATGGAGCCTGGTCACCGAGATAAGGTGAACATGATATAATTTATATTTATAAACAATATTATATGTATTATATTATAGTTATTAGTGTTACAGATATAATAATATAATTGTTTTGTATGCCATCAGGATGATCATGTTGCGAATTCAACACGGCAGATGGGTGTACTTAGTGATCGACATTTACGTAAACACGATTCCAAAATTTGTCTTTGTGTTTTCGTTCCTTAGTTACATCGTACCTATTATCTTCTTGGTCAGTTGTCTCAGATTGAATAACTATATCTGGGGTGAGTTTGTTATAATCTACTTTGTTGCATAGTACTTTTTTGTAGTACAGCTGTCATCGAGTCTCGATAACTCGAATCTTGAGGAAAATGTAAATAAATTTGACTTTGGTATTTTTCGAGTTATTTACGTCAAACACGACACAGAAACACTTCAGGTGGAAAGAAAACAATTCGAGTTATTGAGGTTCGACACAAAATATTTTAAGCACATGACCACCATACGTATGGTAATGTACATTTTCATTCAGTTTTTTTTTTTACTGTATTTAAATTTAAATTTTTCGAAAATGAGTTTAATATGCCCTTCATGTAGTATAAAAACCAGAATGAAATTCGTGGTCATGCTGTCCAAATATTTTGTGTTACCTTTATCTTTGAAGACGCATGCTTATACATTTAGAGAAAGATAGTCTCATAATTCACACACACACACACACACACACACACACACACACACATGGAGTAACTATGATAACTTTGCATTTAAATGTTTTGTTTTTCATTTTAGGTTTAAAAACTAGCAGACGCGTTTCCAAAGACGTTTCTTTCCAACGTAATAAAAAAATTACGTGAAGAGAAGCTGCCCTACATGTGGTCTTGCTTGTCCTCTACATGTGTATAATAATATTAATGTGTAAAAACTAAAAATTAACATTATATTATTGTAATAGTTTTATTTTGACATAATTAGCAAATGCCCGTCCAGACTATGCAACATTATTATCTGCTGTCTCGAAAGATAAATTTAAAATGTATAATGCATAACACATTTTATTATGTTACATGCGTATTCCTTCCTTTTTTTTTTTTTTTTAAATGTCACAATTTAGTAGGTACCAACATAGGTATACTATATAATTTACATTTTATGAATAATGCACCTAATGGTCTCAAATGTGATTTTTTAAATTTATTTTATAAAAACTATATATTTAAATGTAACTGCATTAATTGTCCATCAATTGTTAACGTTATTCTAAACAAAAACAATATACATAAAGATTATTAATATAAAGTTGAAAATGTTATCCCTGTAGAATCCATGTTTTTTTCGAATAAGAAATTTATAGCTATATAAATATAAATTTAACCTACCTATATTTACGAGTTATTTATTTATTTGTTAATAACATGGTAAAGTCATAAAAGGGTTGTCCAATAATTGAAACACTACAATTATGAAAACTACAAAATATTGCTTTAAGAGGAAATATTGAAATAATGAAAGTGTTAATATCAATGATGAAAGTATAATAAAAACAAATTATGGTAATTTTAGATCTTTACTAAGATTTAAACCAATGGCTGATTTTATTTTAGACAGACATTCAAAAAACGCTATTTCTTTTGCAACTTATACTAGTTTCAAGGTTCAAAATGAGATTATTAACATTTGCGGTGATTTAATAAAAGAAAATATACTAACAAAAATTAAAAATACAAGATATTTTTCAGTTTTAGTAGATGAAACACATGACGTTTAGACGTATCGCGACTAGAACAAATGTCGTCTCACGTGCAAGTAATAAAATATCTAGGTATATAATAATATGTAACATTGATTATTTTAAATTTTTTATGAACCCTCATTTTTGTGTACCTACGTACCTAAACCTATATAATGTATATTTATAGTTTTAACTATATTAATAAATGTTTTGTTTATTGACTAATTACCTATGTCCTATATTATTATTTTCAATAGATGTATCATATTATGTATGTGATATATAACTATGACTGATGTTTTTTAATCGTGCCTACTATATAATTCTAAAAATCTACACAAATGTACAATTCAATTACATTAAACCCAATAATTTTAGTATAAATTTGAAAGTTCTTCTTAAACTTATAAAAAAGACTATCTTGTGGTATGCCGTATGCTCCCTACCGTTTTTACAACTCGACAACAATATTTAAACAATATTATATTCTTGTAAGTTGTTTAGTAGCGGGTGATGTAAAACTGGTTTTAATGACTAAATAAATAATACCTACTCAAAAATATTATAAATAAGTTGTGTATTATTAAAAAAAAAATTATAAATAACTAATAGTTATATTATTAAAAAAATATTATATCATATCAACGACGTTTTCTTCTTCGTCTGGTTATTTATCACTAAATACCCGCTTTTAAATGTTATTCTTTTCAAATAAAATTAATAATTAGAAATAAAATAATAACTATAAAAAATAAATTAAATATTTGTGTAATTTCCCAAAAAGGATAAAATAATAAAATTGCAATATTTTGAAATGGTGTGTGACGTACGTTTAAATGTGACCCTTTTATTGATTCCACCACGTTTCAATAATATACCTCAATAATACCTGTAATAACTAATAGTTAACTATACTTATAAATAATATATAAAATTATTTTAGAAAGCATATCAGGGGTTGTACTACACATATTTTTTTATCTCAGAGTCCTCTACAAACTTTCTATCCGTTGAGTATACCTACGTGCATTAAATACCATAATTGTGATCTTGTGGTAGAGCGCATCATACGACAATCGTTCCTTAATCGCTAGTAGATCGAAATTTGTGGTAAATCGCATACGACAAGGATAGCCATAAGACCACGATGTTTACTATATAATTAAAAAATTAAAAAATGTAAATAGAAAAATGTTGCTCCACTCAGAATCTAAAACATATGTATATATCATAAATTATACTTCACATAGACTGACAGACTATATCTTCACAGAATCGTTTTTCGTATACAATGAATAATGATACCCTCATTGAACTCACAATTTAACACACCCATTACAGCGACCCACTCGACACTTACTGTACAGCAGAGTGGTACCCATTAACCCATCTTTTTTTTATATAATTATATAAAGATAAATTATTATGTATACTTACATACATTTATCTATTTAAAGTGGTTATATATTATGTTGGTGAAGTCTAAGAAAGTAAGAACCACTAAAATTCTATATGGGTGGCAACTCATATATACCTATTATATATAACTACGAAATACCTGATCATCGTCGGATAGGCAACTGCAACTGCAAGTATATATTAACATTTTTACGATAAAGATGTAGGGAGGAGGATATTCGTTTATTTTGGAAGGCTATGCAACTGCTAGTACCGATAAATTATTATTATTTTGTGTGTGTGTGTGTGTGTGTGTGTGTGGAAATCGGTATATACCTAACCTCTTGCTTAAAATGGACATAATGGTCACGATATATTATAACGGTGGAGGTTCACTTATTGGCGCGAAAAACGGAAAAACCCACACGACACCATGTCGTGGGAAAGTCGCTGGGTATACCTACGCTCTATGTGCCGCGTGGCCCGCTGAATTTCAGTGTACATAATGAACGCGCTCTCGACAGTCACAGTCGACGCGCCGTCGGTGCTTTTTGCGGTAAAAAAACAACGGCGGGACGACTTGCAATACGTCAATACTATACGGCTGATTCGGCAGGCACCGAAAGTCCGAACATCGATTTCAAACGACTCTGTCGCCAAAACCGGCCGTCAGAGTGTCGTTACATCGTAGAGAGGTACCTTATCCATTGACTTAATTCCGTTAGATTTCAGCTGCCGCAGGTGCGCAAAATACCTCTCATCCGTCCGATAATCACAATCCAGACAAATAAAGTCATTATTATTTAAAGCCAATCAGAGCAGCTTAGCTCGCGTAGGTACACTATATACATTTGTATAATTTGCAGATTATCTACAGCAAACGTCAAAATCTGATTATTTTTAACACTGCACCTACTATTGTGTCTGTTATTTTAGGTAGTAGGTAGGTATAGGTATGAATTAACGCCGTGCGGAAAAAATATTAACAATTTAAACTAGATGAACAGATCGTATGAGATAATAAAGTTAACAAGGTAGGTATTTACAATTAAAATGATTTTAACAGGTGATATAAATAAATTTTAAATTATAATATGAGATATAAAAGTTGGCCAAGTACGAAAAGTTATTAATTATTATTGGCTATCGACATCGTCCTTACCAGAGGAGCATTTTTTTGCTAAGTTAGTAAGATTTACTGGTAAGTGAAATGACCCCTGATGTCTGGTGTGTTACCAAGAACACGAATGTCGGTTTGTTCTAACAACCTGGGTCCTGTGTCGATGGCTCCCTCGATTATAGTCCATCGATAACTGGAGACATCGTTCGGATACCGATTTAAGTTACATTTTATTATAACCTATAGGTTTAAATATGTTCAGATTCAGCAGGTGCAAAAGCATTTCTTTGCTGCATCTGCTTCATATTATCTAATACCAGTAATACCAGAGGATACCACTTGCATCGTAGTGCATTCCGGTAACTATTCCACTGCCGACGACGCTCATCTATAATTATTGTGACAAGACTGCTGTTATTTATAGTACGTCTGCATCGAATCTGATGAAAGATTATTGTTTACAGCGAATCGATATCAATAAAAAAATGTTACCTATATATTAGCTCCAAAACAAACAATCCAAAATTAAATGCGCAACTCGTATTATTTATAAGTATGCGAAAAATAAATAACGGCCACATGGTTTTCAGGATATCAGTACCACGGTTAAGGTGCTTTAGCCCCCCCCCTCCCATTAGAAAATTGTGTATATTATATGTATTGATTTATATTTATATAATAAATAGTTTGTAAGTCTTAAAATCCATAAATTTGAAATATAAATAAAATTGTTGCAACACTGAATTTAAAAAAAGTTGGTTGTAATAATTTGAAAAACAGAGGTTTGTATCTCCACAGGACACTCCTTAAGTAGTACGAAAAATCTCAAGAATTTGAAAATGTTGTCTCCAAGTACTCTTTAGTCTCGTGGCACGCCACTGGCACCCGTTTCAGCATTTTACCCCACCCCATTATAATATTATAATATATTTATTACGACTTCGTACGGACCCTTCAGCAGTAGTGCATCGTTTGGAATCGATTTCACAATTTATTATGTTATGAGCTCGCAAGTCATCAAATCTCGCCGGCCGCCACGGTGGTCGGGTTGTCTGAAAAATAATCCCATATAGTTAGAGTTGAATAATGATAAGAAATCATTATTGTCAACAGTTTATTCGATACAATTATAACAACTAATGAGAACAATAGAAATTAAAACGATTATCAATGTGACAATAAAGTACAATTATTATATAATAATTTATTACGTAACACTTACACAGTTACACTTCCTATAAATTGCGTCTCCTCTATACACCGGGTGATTCATGTTATGTTGGACACTCACTCAATTACGTTTTTCAAAATATTTTTTCACATAATTTTAAATCTTTAAAAACATTTTTCTAAAAAAAATAATTTTTATAGTTATAATTTTTTAAATGTTTAATGACAAGTGACATCATGCATTTTTAATTTCTTATTCCAAAACAGAATATTTTAGTACTTCAATGTATATAAATCGAATTTTTGCAGACGAGCAATTTGAAAGTATTTTAAATTTAGATAAGCAGAGTGGAGTAGTTAGGAGGAGGTACCACGAACAAGATGATCCACTACTTCGACCTTCTACACTCTTAATACTTATAAATTACTTGCCCGGA